AGTGACGATTCTGTTAATAGGGGATAGAATTTAGAGTTGGGGAAGACTGAAAGAGTAAAAGAAAAGAAATGGGGATATTGGAAATTGCTATAGCAAACAGTTTTATGCTATCCTAATTCTATGCAGATTCAGTTTCTTTGTAGGCATGGCATATTTATTTGTAGATACTACTGCCGCCTCCTCCTTCGTAGTTTAATTGATGTTCTTTTAGCATAGTTTTAAAATGAGTTTGGACAGCAGAAAATGCTGCAGAAAATGAAGACTAGAAATAAATGGGTTAGGAAATTAAGAATCAATTACATTGAATGAATTGAGATGATTTGGGATTGCATTTTTTTTATCTGAGAAGTGCATCCATGCTATAAGCTGTTTCCCCTTGAATTCATCATTCATTTAAGCAACTAGATTTTAAAAATGTTTTGTTTTAAATTTAGGACTTGATAAAATTGAATTTCTTCAGAGGCATGAAAACCAAGAGATCTACCAAAAGGCTTTTGAACTCATAGAACATTACTTTGGTGTCGAAGAAGAGGACTCCAGTATTGCACCTCAGGTGGATGAAAATCAGCAGCAGTTTGTGTTTCAACAGCAGGAGGCTCCAATGGAGGGGTTTCAGCTGTAAACTATTGAAGTGAAGACAAGCATAAAATGTAAACACTTGTAGGGTTTTGGTTTGTTTTTCGCCCCCCCCTCCCAAGAGGTCTTTTCTTTATGGCCAAAGTTAGAGGAAAAGTTGAATATGTTTTGCAGAAATAGATGAAGCAGCTCATGCACTTTTATATATTGTGTTAGATGCAACTGTTCTTTGTTTTGTATTTGTGTTTTTCATTCTCTCTTATGTACAGAAAACAACTGTGAGTAATCATGTCTAAAGTAAAGCATTAAATGTGATTTAACAAGAACTGTTAAGCTAAGACTTGGTAGGATTTTAGGTAGTGGCTCTGAATTTTTCATGTAGTCTCAAACTGCATATCAGCAATACAGTTACTGACAGTTGCATTTTTGGCAGTTGGCTTGACTTGCCCAGTCTCTATCAAATCTACCTCTTGTATTGAAGCAAAAACATTGCTTCAGAACTAAGATATGAAATAAAGATGAGCTTGTAAGAAGCTGAATTGGAATGTGAAAAATATTTATTTAAATTGTGAAACTTTTATGCATTACTTACTTTACAACACACTGTTGGAATTTATTTATAAAATGTATTTAAAGACATAATAGATATACATATATAATGCTAATTACCTAATATAATATTGAATATATGAAAAAGCTTTTTCTGAATTATGTGGGAAGAGGACTATTTCAGAGATTTTCAAATTGGAATCAGCAGAGAGCTTGCTGGTTATTTGATGTTGGCTCTGTAACTAAAGCTGCTAAATGGCATTAAAAGTCAGCCACAAGTACAGTACTTTGCAGTGGAAGCAGTTGCTGTAGTTACCACAAGAATGCTGAGATGATGAATGACAGAGATGGTGATTTGCACAAATTGCCAAGCAGATGGTTTACAGCTGTCTCCTGTCAAAATGTGGTAACACCGCTTTCGTTTGAGAAACATGGCAATGTTTGCCTTTCTAGTACAGTAGCTTCTTAAAAGTTTAGACAGTAGGTGTTATTTTTTTGACCAAATATGCTACCGCCACTTGAATTGTTCTTTAAGTTAACTAACTCGGTTTTCTTTTGGTAAGACAATAGAAGTACTGCAGTGAAGAATGAATAGTGAATCACTCCTTTTCAGTTGAAGGCAAAGTTTGTTGTACTGTAAATAGCATTAAGTATGTGGACACCAAAACTAACTAGAAGTTATTGTCATCTAAATATTTAGGCTCTACAATATAGTGTTTGCTGTTAAACACTAAAAGAAATAGAATTCTAATATTTACATTAACAATTTTGAATACAGAAAAATGTATGCTCTGCTTCGACTTGCATATAAGTAGTGTTTCTGGTGTATTAGTAGTATATCTCATTTGGAGAAATTAATACTTTGCGTTAATGCTGAAGTATGATTATTTCTTATTACCTGTAATTAATGTATTAACATCAAACTCCTGGGTTAAGTGAAGTCCTTGACATATGAGAGCATTGTGTGCTTCATAAAAAGCTGTAATTTAAACTTCAGATTACTTACCCCATGGCACTGTGCTTATCACTAAACAATATTTTAATGCACTGAAAAATACAGGTTGAAGGTGGTATCATTTACAGTACCATTTTATATTTAGAGTTTTTTTACATGCAAGTTAAGATTCTAAGATGTTTCACTTTGATGTTACAGCAATATATACTATATTGTAATTGAATGTGGGACTTGAAGTGGATGTTCTAAGATTAATGGTCAGTTTTGACTAAGGTGTAACTGGGAGGGAAGAAACCTCTTTTTGAAGTCTTTTTAGTGGAATATAGTGTAAGAAGTGTATATAGGAGTGCTGTTACTTTATGAACTCTGAATAATGAGATATTTTAGCAAATGACACTTTAAACCTAGATTTGTACAGCATACAACAGTTTTGAATAGTGTGATAATCTTGAGTACAGCTGCCAAATTTTCATATAACGTTAGATGATTGTATTTGTGCCCTTTTTACTCTCATAGTCTTAGGTTTTCATATACTGACCTTCCTTCTTTCCCCCCCTCATCTGTTCAGAGTACAGGGTAACAATCACGGAGATCTACCAGGATTACTAGTAAATGCTGAATCTCAATGTTCTTCAAGTGTAAGAAAATTATTCAGGTAACAGGGTATTCCATTGTTTCTAACAACCTTGTTTTGATAACATAACCAGCTGTGCCTGCTTTTTATTTGGAGAACCCTGTAAAAACTGCATTTATAAGCCTCTCTAATTTAGACCAAATCTGAACTATAAAAATCTTGATTAAAGGACTTGAAAATGAAGAAAAGAGGGGACATTTAAAGTATTATATTTGTTTTGAAAGACTGTCTTCAGTTTTGCGGATATATTATTCAGTATGTGTGAACGGTTAGTGACTGCACTTTATGCATTTAGATTAACTATATTTCATGCCTCTGATACATTTAAATGTAACAGTTTAAAAGGGAACTAAAATTGATGGACTTCAGCTAATGAAAATCATTATTTAAACTCAACATTTGGTTTACCCTAAAATTGTTAAAAAACAATAATGAAAATTATTCTTTAAAGAATAAACGTACAGGATGGCCTCTCCTATTTTATCACTGGGTTTACATCACACTTTGTTAAAAGCACATAAATGAACAATATCAAACCAGAGGTGATGACTTAAGGTCAGCTCTGATGTAGTCATTTGCAGGCAGGGGCGTCAATATGATGATGTGGCCTAAACAGGTGAAACCAGTGTGGAGGGAAACAAAAAAAAAAAATAACTGAGAGAAGAAAATCTCTTCAAGCTTGGTATTTTATATGGAATCTGAAGTGCCCCATCAGTTACGGAGTCTGCTTAAAAATATAGGGCTTTGGGCTTTGTGGTTTTGGTTTTAATTAAAAGGGTACCATTTGTTCTGCTTAAATGTGAATACTAACTAGCTAATCTATGCAACTATGCAAAGCATAAGATTATTGTTTAGTTCCCTACTCTTGATACACTGAATCGTATCTATTTTGTTGCACTTTTGTCTGAGGACTGGTTCATACAGCTTTTTAATTTTCTAGTATTTGCTTTAAACACTGTTGCTAGCAGCAATCAGAAAATAGTAATAACGTTGGCACAGAAATAAGTTAGCTGTAGAACAAGTTTGCAACTGGAAAATATTTATTGTTGGGTCTGTCTTTAAAAAAAAAAAAAAAAGAAAAGATGCACTATTGTCTTTCCTCCATGGTTAGTTCTCAGTTGGTTTAAATTTATTAAATTGTGAATTTGAGGATTTTTGTAATAGGTGTGCCAATTGATATGTGAAGTTTAACCGTGACCTCAAGAGTTCACCAAAATGTGGAATGAGAAATTTCAGTTACTTATGGCACAGTATCTTCACATAATGTGTGGAAACTAAAATACCTATACTAACTTCAGATAGTAATAGTGCATCTTTAAATCCAGGCCAAAGGCCCATTACTGTAACTGAACACATATGAGTAGTATGCAATATTATGGAATGTTAAATCTCCAAATACCATACAGAAACAATAAAACCTATTTTACAGATGTTTATTGTATTTATTTAGTGTTTCAATAAGTGTGGCTTCTTAAACTAGAGAACACAAATGCCATTTTGAATGCAGCATTGGGGCAAATGCATTCAAACTGGCTGATTTGTGCACTGTAAAACTAGGCACTGTTACCAGACAGAAAATTTTGTGGTTTAAAACATGTTTTGTAAATATCTAACCAAACACATACTTGTATGATAACCACAGACTTGTCTCTGCCTGCAGAACTGACCGCTTCTTTGGGAATTCCCAGGAAGTTTATAAGGACTTGAGAATGTGTGAAATTAGCAGGCCCCTTCCCCTCCCCTCACTTTTCCAAACCTTCTCGGTGTATAAGATTTGTAATACCCTGGCTGGTTACAGTTTGTTCTTTATTTAGAATGGCAAAAGTGAATTGCATAAGTCTCCTTATTTTTGCAGTTTTTGTACCTTCACTACTGCTTGGTCTTTGCTGCATGTAACCTTTCATTGAAAAGTACAGCTAGTTTGTCTGTGAGGAACTCTTACCTGTGTAATAGCTCAAGATAAGCCTGAAAGAAAGTTTTTAAGACAGATAGTGGAATCTTGGCTCCCCCTATGCCTGACATTCTTAGGAAACTACCTCATCTCCTTTCAAATTAATTACTGCTTTTAATCATGTGCAAAACATTCTGATTTTAATCATTTGCAACAAGTACATCAAGCATCTCTCTAATAAAGAGACCCTCCATTTCTTTTTGTGGTCCTGTAACTATACTTGTTGGCTCCAGCGTGTGCAATACTACAGTTTTCCATTTATTGGTTGAAAGTCACTAATCCCTCAGCAATGCTTAATTTCGCTCCGACGAGGACATTTGGCATTTCATATTAAGTTACTTTGTCTTCGACTCTGCTGCCAGCGCGGCCTCTTTCCGCCACTTGGCCTTCTTTGCCAGGTTCCAGCTTGTTAAGGACTCGTGGCGTGCAGCAGCCTGTGGAAGTAAGACACCTACTGAAGAGCAGCGTGGTAGGAGTAACGATGCACCCCATCTCGGGAACAGCCAGCGACTACTTAGGTGGCAGGGGTGACAGGAGCACAGGTTAGCTAAAACTGGGGTAGGTGTAAGCTGCCACTCTTTCTTGAGGCTTGTCGACTTTTCACAGAATGCCATCATTTTTAAGTGTGCTACGTGATAACTAGCTAGCACCGTACTCACCTTTTTAGCTGAGGCAATCACTGCAAAACAGGCAACAATTGAGAGGCCAATCATGATGTAACAAGCTTTAACTCGAGCTTTGTTTCTTGCCTTGTCCAGCATCTCTGGCCTGCAATTAAAGTTATTGACTAATTACAAAACTGTGAAGCATCTCTTCTTCAAAGCCTCACAGATAAAACATCACCGCCACTGAAAAATAAAAACAATTAGCTTCTAAAATGAGCATCTTCAGCTTGCTATGACTGGTTATGTACCACCCGAGAACATTGCATTTTCTGACCCTAGTCCATTTCCAGTGGAAAAGCAACATTTAATGGATTTAAGCTGATTTTTTGTTTTTTAAGCTGAAAAAATAATTGCTCATGCAATAAATATTTGCATTTAAATACTTGGGGTAAATACACCAGAAATCCTACCTTAAGCTCTAGTTAAACATAGTGAAAATTAAGGGGGTTTATCCGTTTTGAACGGATGGAGAAGTATATGTGGTGAAAGCAAGTTCCTTTTCTTCAAAGTTAACTTTAGAAATTAATTACTGTCGTATCTGACCTGTTTCGATGGCGTCCTGTACGCTGTAGGCTAGGGGCTTTACATACTCGGATAGGCGATTAAAACAGTTTGTACTGCTATGAGTTAGATAGGAGGTTTTCGTTCTTTAGAAAAGCAGCAGCATTTATTTAAAGCTGCCGTCAGCCGCCTCGCTAGTACAGGAACACACGCCGGAACACGAACAATCTCCATTATTAGTTTTGCCGGTCATCAAAGGCAAAAGCAGTGAAAACTCCCGCCCGGCGTCTGGCAGCAGTGGCTGGGGCCCGCCGGCTGCGCGGGTACGGCTCCCGTTTCCACCTCCTGGGCTGGGAGCAGGCTGCGCGCCCCGCGAGCCAGCCGTACAGGAGACCTCCGCTCCGCTAAAACCGTCTCAAAACTCTCGGCGAAGTCTTTTTCTGGGTCAGACGGTGCGCTTGGGAGTACGGGTTTTAAGACGTTCGTTATAATGCTGGCTGTGCGCCGTTTCCTAAATCACATGGGAATGCGTTACATATATAAAGATAATATGTTCACAAGATATAGAATATAAACCTACATAATATATAGTTACAGTTTTATACATACATGTATGTAAAAAGGATAGTTGCATAAAGAATTGATTTTACATTGTGAGTAAAGATCTCGTAACGATCTCTTTCCCCCAGAACACCTTTAGCTTTACTTTAAGGAGGCTGAGCGGTGGGATGGGGCAGAGCTGGAGTTTCCATCGCGGAAGCTCTGCCCGCGGCGGCGCGTACCAGGGCTGAGGGCTGCAGCGCTCCCCTCGAAGGCTTTAACGCAACAGCAGAGGGCAAGTCGGACAGGCGGCTCGGCCGCGCTACCCCCTTCCCTGCCGACGTGCACGTGCTGTGTTTCACCGTGCAGGTGACTGACGATGCCTGCAGTTCTGAGTAACCACTTTTCTTCTGTACCACGGTAAACACACATTGTCTTTAAAACACACCGCACATCAGACTAGCGCATAAAATCATTAATCCGCTAATCCATTTGTAGCAACAGAAGCAAACCCATAAATGTTATTAGTCTGGCTTATTAGCCTAATCATATTTCGCAATGCCCTAATCAAAACTCTTCTGAAGAAGATTTTCACTTTCTCCCTGCTTTCTGCCTCTGCTTTAGAGAAAACAGACCTTATTATGTTCTTCCCTAATTGCACATTAGGGCCTTTGCTACTCAATCCTTAATCAAGACTCTGCGCAAACCTCTGCTGAAGTCAGTAACAGCTGTTTAAAAAAAAAAACCACCAAACCACAACAACCCAACAACCTTGAGTAAGGACTGCAGGTTTGACCCTTGGTACAAACTATCTTCAGCAGCTAGATTGTGTTCACAGGTAACAGTATCTTGCAATTCTTTTGTTTTTTTAATAGTTACAGCAGTGACACAATTCAGCTTCGATGTCTCACAATTAACTTCTTTTAGTATATTACTATTTATGATCTTACAGTTCTAAAAAGACCTTGCTCACCCAGAAAGCACAAAGCGGCGACACGCACTTGAAAGCGGTGACTTGCACAGAAACGAGCAATTTGTGTGCGCGTATGTGCATGGACTGGCAAATGCGTGCGTCTCTATAAACACCTCCCGATGACCTGAATAGCTTTTAGAGCTTCTGAGCCCCGTCTGAGCCTTTCTCTAGGGGAAGATGGTGGGACTAGCACAGCGCGAGAGAGGCGGGATGACGGAAAGCCACCGTCCAGCTCAGGAAACTTCAGTGAAGCTGCCAGGAACCAAGAGGAGCCGGCAACGGATGCACCCGTTGCTTGACGCGGCTCTGCACGCTGCTTACGCTCAACGCACCACCCGAGGCAGGGACGTACTGCGACGATAAGAAGTGGCGTCCTGGAGAGAGACATCGAACGCGCTATTGAACACCCTAAGAAAAAGGCAGCAATTGGCATTCGAGGGGTTTCATGTGTTCAGCGGCTGACTCCCTTGGGGGATGCTAACTCTCAGCGAGTCAGAGCAGCACAGAATCAGGGTGGTTTGTGCGGGAAGGGTTGTTCAAGGATCATCTAGGCCAGTGGGTCAACAAGAATGGGAGGCTAAGGCTACGTCAAGTACTCGGTTTTCCTTGGTCGGGGATGTTTCTCTCATAACCTCCTTCTCCGTTTTTCCTCAAATTCTATAATAAATCATAATTTGTTGGATCTAATCATTCAGTGACAGTCAGCTCCCTTAGAACTCTTTATGGGAGCTATAAACAGAAAATATTGTTTACCAATAACATCCTTCTCTGGTTGCACGTTAGGAATAAGCAAAATAAACAAGCCAGTACATAAATGTAACAGAGGCTATCTACTCAGACGGATCCAGTTCTTAATCCCAGGCTCTGGGGACCCCAGTAAGGAACATTTTCTCATCTTAACCTCTAACCAGGACAGGAAATTCTTTTGCCCTCTAATTTGTTTCCAAGTTTTCACTGTTGAAAAACTGACTGGTTCAAACTCTGCGGAAAAGCTTTAGATCGGGATCACGCCACCGCTTTCCCTTCAGCTCCATGTTTCCCTCGGGCAAGAGCAGCACACTTACGGGATCCTCGGAGGAATCTCTTCTTCTGTCTTGAAACGCCCCGTCCAGAGGAGGATTTTTCTGTCAAACCTCGAAGGTTTGTAACTCGCAACCACCTTGTGAGCCTGCTCAGCTTAAAGATTAGGAAAAAAACACTTGGTCAAACCACGCACTAAGAGTGAATGATGAGTGGTAGTAAGGGTGGAAGTGGAAAACCCCTGCCTGTCCTGGTCGCTGGAAGGATTAAATTTCCAGGGATTAAACTTCCACCTCCCCGCTATGCAGAGTCACCTCCACGCGGTCTCCTGCACACCCCCGCCCCCCATGGGGGTCTCTGCGGCCCGCTTCGACCTCCCCGCGGCCTGGGGGTGCGGTACCCGGCCCGGCAGCAGGACGCCCGGGACCACCCGAGCTG